TTGGCTCTGCAATCCTGTCATGCTTTTTTGGGTTTTCCAAATCCATTGACTTATTTATAAAATTTCCCATATGACTTGGCACTTGAATCTGCAGTATTAATGTAGTTAGAAGTCTACATTCTGACTAAATCCACCTATCAGCTGTTAAGAAAATAATAAAGGATAATATTTTTGCCTGCTTAACTTGCAAATAAAAGATAAAAAGCCATTTCTCATTTGCTGTGATAGTAGTAATAACGTGTTCTTAAAAGTAAATTTGTTATGACTTTCCCAAAACATCTTCAAGTGTTTTTAATTATATGTTGTAAAATTACCTTAGGCACCAAGAGAATACATTATTTTTTTTTCTGTCAAAGTAGATGATAGAGAAGTGTTGCCCCACATGGAAACAATGAAAGTCAGATTCCTTCTTAGGAATTAGGATGGGATTTTTATTTGAGTTTTGATGTCAGGAGAAATAAGTCAAAGCACCATCATCAGAAGTAAGCATAATTTTTCCTGCAATTCTCCTGAAAAATAATTAATTTTAATTCTTTACATATAAATTTTGCTGTGGCCTGTGCAGGTTAGAGCTAAGTGCAGCAGAGCAGGACTGTTATGGTTTGGAAATTAGGCAAAAAATAACTGTTTTGATTTTCATAGGTTATTTTGATCTTTGTAGCATTAGACAGGAAGATATGCAGTTCTAAAGCAGCAGCACGTAGTGGTCACTGAACATAACCTTTCTATGTGGTGCAATCCTTGATCTGTAAAGGTTAGAGGTACAACACATCTTCCAGAGCTTTAAATACTAAGCTGTGTTTGGCAGCTTCAGAAAGGAAGTCATTCCTTTACTAACCATCTGTCTCTGAGGCAAAACTGAAAGGGTTCCCAACTTACATAGGCAGCTTATAGTAAAACTGCTGCTGAGTTGGGCTCTCGGTTTACCTTTGTGAGGTAAGAATGGATCTGGACCAAAACTCTTCAAAGTGGTTTTGCTCCTGCCCTTTGACATGGGGACAGCAAATGACAGTAGAATTCTTGAATTATGAAGTGAAAGAGGAAGTTATCCACACACCAGAAAGGGCAACAGTGATGGAACAAGGACAGAGCAGAGATGCACAGGGAAAAATACAGGGGTGATGCTCAGGGAGCTAACCCGTCTCTTCTGACCGATCTTAGCAGCATCTGGGGCACTGGATGCATTTTGACCTGCACTTTACATAATTTTGATATATATACTATAAATAAAACTTTATATATGTTTTATATATGTGGTGTATGTAGCCTGTATATAGTTTATATGTAACACATGTTGGGCAGTGCTTTGCTTTCCTTTGTCTATGGGAAATTGCCAGAGTTAAATAGCAGTTCTCATTGCCTAACATTTATGACATAAAATGAAATGTTAAGGTATAGATCTGTATCCTTAAGGAACCCAAACAACCTTAGCAGTGTCCTGGGGTGCCACCATATAGTAACTGTTTTCCTCCCCTGAGTTGTTTGATATACTGAGAGAATGCATGCTGGATAGAAGTCTAAGCTACTCCAGTTACCTCTTTGCTTGTTACAACTGCAACATAAACCAGAATAACCTGCCTAGTGCTTGTTATGCCTAAAGGAGAAATGCAAATGAGAAAAAAACCCACAAGTTTTGATAGGTTTAGAGTCCCTTCAAGTGTAAGTTACTTAAATAATATTTAGTTATTTAATTACTGAAATGAGATGGCTTTTTTTTTTTTTAAAGAAAGAAATAAGTGGAGTTTTGTAAAAGTAATAATAATAATGGCCAGTCTTTGCGAGCGAAGATCCGGGGAAGGTCTTTCCACCTTCCAGCCTGCGCATTGGATTTTTTAGGTGAGACACAGTGTGCGCGGAACTGAGCCCACCCTTTGATCCTAAGGTTCATCTGCCGGGGCCAAGCGAGCTTGGACGGTGGCAGCGAGGTCCTTAGGACGTAGATGGGGTTGCCTTTAAGGGCTAACGAGCTCCATCTGGCCCGGGGAGTGGCCCTGACCGGGAATCAAACCGGTGACAGCGCCACGCCCTTACCACTAGACCACCAGGGGCTCCTTTTGTAAAAGTACTTCTTCAAATAAAAGCAATTTTCAATTCATGCATATCTACTAAATAAAGAATAAAGATACTCCTCAGCATATTTGTTTTTTAAGGGTCGGTGTACAACAAGAAATGTCTTGTGACTTTAGTCCAACCTCAGCCCTTAGGTATCTAATTTCATCTCCTGTTTTCTCTGAGAAAAATTATGAAATACAGTTAATTTTGAACATTGTTGAGGGTGACTTACGCTCCCATACTTTTTGTTCATGCTATACAGTACTTTATTGTTTTTACTGGAAAGGCTATGAAGATACTTTCTTCCAGCAGGGAATCAACTACACATTACATAGAAAATGAGCAACAATTTACTTGCCATCCTTTTGTAGTTGTTTTGCAATGAACTTTTCATAGTGTATAATTGAATACTAATCATAGTGTTTGAGCGTTTCTGGTACAAGTGGCACATCTTGCATCTGCCCCTCTTGCAACCACTTTGGGGTTACTCTTTCTCCACTTAAGAAATCTCTGGAGAGAGGAAGTCTTGAGTGGACAGGGTGTTTTATCCTCTGCATATTTTACAGCAAGATTTTGCGGCCTTGAGACAGTTCCCAGAGGGTGAAACATGAGAAGTGCATTTGGCTGGGCTGATGTTGAGGAGACAGGGACCAGTGCCACATCGGGGGAAGGGGAAGGCCATGGGCACTGCTTGTGACAGGGATGAACCGTGCCATTTCTTGGAAGATGTGAGCGAGGAAAGGGAAGCAAATTGAATAGACTTTGGCAATGGTCCCAAACAGGTTGAGGAGGAGAATTAGCTGCATTAATGATTAATGATTGCAAAGCTCATTCAGCTTGAAAAGTACTTTCTATAAGTGCTAAGTGCTGGCATTAAAAATGTATGCATTTTCATTTTAATCCACACTTGGTGTCTGCAAATGGAGAGAAAAGAGAAGAGCCAGCAGTGTCATTTTAGCAGCACTAATACCTCACTACAGCTGAAATTACAGTTTGCCAAGGCATACAGCCTAGAGTCTGGGTCTTGCAGAGCTCAGCCTGTGGTCGTCGTTCCTGCCTGTGGTTCTCTTGAACTGCTCCACCAGCTGCAGAGTTTAAAGTGAAGGCTTGGAAACCTTCTGCAAATCAAACATTTACTAAGTGAACAGTTGTCGTTATTAAGTCCCTGCTGATAAAGACATAAACTATAGTCTGTCACACATGGATTTCTCTGCACAATTAAAAATTTTAAAGGTGTCAGTTATCTGTCTCTTTTTGGTTTTCAAAAAATAGACCTGTTTTCTTTACTGAGTGGGAGGCACAGGGAAAGGGGATTCCAACAGAAGTTATTTGTTGTGCTATTAAGGTGCTGGCATGTTGCTACCAGAAAAGCTGTGGACCAGAGCAACAGAGGCTGTGTGGGCAGGACAGTGAAGCTTTTGCTGTAGTCAAGCTGTGAGGGCTAAATTCTAGAATAATGTGTTAATACAGGTCTCTGAAAGGAGCTGAATAGACAAATCAAGAGGCAGAAGAGAAAAAGAGGCTCTAAGTCTGGACCTTAACAGCTGCAAGCCCCATGCTTGAGGGTTAGGCTATAAGGTGCTCATGGATGGCGTGGTTGGAAGGAGGAAACAGTTTTGCACTCTGACCTGCAGTTAGGCACGCCAGCCTTGGCAAGGTCAGTGCAGCCCTTTGCCTTCCCAGGCTGGTAATGAGTCAGCAGCTGCATACCTTTTTGCAAGTGTGTGGAAATGGTAACTGAAGTCTCTGTTTTGCCAGTTTGCTGCAGAGTATGTAATCTTTCTTACCTCTCACACAGTTGGATGCTGAGCTTGTTTCATATCTTCATTTCAATCTGCTGTTAGTCTAACCTCAGTGTTTATTCACACATCTGGTAACAGGGAGTTAGGGGTCTCCTTCTGTAGTTGTCTCTGGTTTGCCACTGCCAGCTGAGCTCACAAGCAGGGTGAGAATGCCATAGGGTGACCTATCCACTGGGAAGCAGACCTTGGTTTGCTCTTTCTGTGTAATGTTGGACTGGTGGAAGTTGCAGAGAGAAGGGTTTCTGTTTCTGTCATTCCCTTGCCTTCCCAGCAGACACCTATGCATTAGCTCTCGCCTTCATGTGAGGAGGGTGGAAGCGGAAGGGGGTTGTTGCCCTTCAAGAATAACAAGGTTTGGTCTTAATTTGCCTTTGGTCAAAAATACCTTCTTTTCTTACCTCTTTTGTTGAGAGCCGTGTTGTGTGCTGCTGTGTTAGAGGCTACATTTTCAGTTATTTCAGTTACGGGTAAAACGCTGTGGTTGCTAGGGGAGAAAAGTATTAGTATTACCAATATTTATTATTCAGTCCCCATGGAAACTGTAGTTCTTCAGGGAGTCCTAATTCTCACATTTTTCCTTCCTATGGAAAAGATATCTCTTTAACTGTGGTTATTTTCTAGAAAAATGAAGCCAAGATGCACAAAGGGAGTTGTGTTCTGGTATGCTTGACAGATGTCTGTCTTTGGGGAGTTACTGTGAATTACTGATTACTAAGTTGTGTTGTAGCTTCCAGTCACAAGGATCTTTGGATTGTCTAATTTTACCATGGTGATGTTTTATTATTTTTTTCCCTTCCTCTTTGTTCCCTGTTCAATTTGTCCTTTTCCCCATTGTTATTTTTTTAATTTGCTGCATATTTGAATTTGATGAAGAGTTATTTGGTTAACAGTTGCACTCAGTGATCTTAACAGTCTTTTCCAACTTAAGTGATTCTATGGTTTCATGGGGAAATGAACTTTACTGTTTTCTGCCTAAAGGTATAACTGTGGCAAAAGCTGTGAGTATAGCCCATGGCTGTAAAAGGGACACCATAGTACCTGTTTTTGAAAAGTTTGAGTTCTTCCGATTTTGAGAGGAAAGCTGTTAAAATACTGAGTGATTTATTCTTGGTGGGATAGTGAACTCAGTCCTTGGTTTTCTTACAGTGCCTAAAACAGTATGTGGAACTTTTGATCAAAGAAGGTCTAGAAACAGCAATCAGCTGCCCTGATGCTGCCTGCCCAAAGCGAGGGCATCTGCAAGAAAATGAAGTAAGTACATTTTTACTGCAAACAGGGTGTTTTCTTTTCTTTACAGGATGTTTAAATTTGTCTTGCTCTGTATGTTATAGCTTCCATTGTTGGCAAGACATTGTTTTAATAATTCACAAAGGTCAAATATTTTATCTCTGTTTAAAATTAGTTAGATTATTGCTGCTCCTAATTGGAAATTTGTCTTTCTTTTGCTTCCTTCAACAGATTGAGTGCATGGTTGCATCAGAAATCATGCAAAGGTATAAGAAGCTACAGTTTGAAAGAGGTAACACATATAACACTACCCACTGAAGGCTGTGAGAATGGTATCATTCCAGAATGATCCTATAAATCAGAATCTGTCTCTACACATGTTCATGCAGTAGCATTGTGCATTAACTGTTTGGTCATCACAAAAAAAAGAAATTAATCAAAACCAAAACCCAAAAAGTAGTTGTTTCTGTTCTTGCCTGTGTGATTCCCAGAACTACAGCACTCTGGGAATAAACTAAGGAAAGAAAATTGCTATGTATTATATTGCTAAATAACTAAGGGAGAGAGTGACTTCTATTTTGAGCTTTGCTGTTTAATTACAGTACTGACTACTAGTACTGTAGGGGCTGGGGAGGTAGACTAACCTCTTTCACAGAGTCAACATTATTTCCTGGGATGGCATCTGGTGCAGAATTACCAAGCAGTTCTGTGTGTAGTGTATAATGATACAAGCATTAACAAGGTTCATGTTAAGAATATAAGCTGAATGCATGCTTATGAGGATGTGGAATGGTTTGGTCATGGAGACCTTAAGGTTTTGCTGAGGTCAGGACCCAGCCTAGAAACCACTGAAGTAATTTCATTTTTTAGTTAGTTACTTATTTATGTTGTCTTCAGTGAGCTTTGAAACATGAAATAACTTACCTGTAAGGAGCCTTCAAGAAAGGGATCAAACTCTATAAGAGTCGTATGCCATTGTTAATCATGTGGTCACATTAAGGCAGAGGTCAACTTGAAATAAGAGTCCTAATGGGCAAGACACTGTAAAAACACTTTCTAATGGGTTTTACCTGCATAGTATATGCTGTGCTTAACTTGAAGTACAGCTGAAAAAAAATCAAACTCACTCTCTGAACAAGTTTAGTTCAGTGAATGAAAGTGGGCCATGAATTTGGACTTGTGAAGCTCACTTTAGTTTGGTGTCTTTAGTTTGCGAAACAGGCCAGGTTTATGTCAAAGGGGGTAGCAGAAATTAAAAGGCTCCTTTTGAAAACTTGTGTCTTCAAAAGCCCTGCCAGCCAACCTCAGCTGAAATGCATTGTTATGGCAGGCCAGTCTCGTATCTGCCTTTGAATTTTGTTCTTTTATGTCCCTTTGCAGAAGTGCTTTTGGATCCATGCCGGACTTGGTGTCCATCGTCTACTTGCCAGGCAGTTTGCCAGCTCCAGGAATCAAGCCCACAGGACCCCCAGCTGGTCCAGTGCAAAGCATGCGACATTGAGTTCTGCTCTGCTTGCAAATCTAATTGGCATCCGGGTCAAGGCTGTCAAGAGAACATGCCAATCTCTTTTCTTCCAGGAGAAACAAGGTAAAGTATTGCAAAAGATCAAGTATTTAGAAACTAAACACTCAATTATTGAACAAATCGGATTATGAATAGTAAAGAGGCATTTTCCTGATGTTTTGTTCTAAAGCTGTTTCCTTTTCTAAGTCATTCCTGTTCTTTTAATGCCATATTCCAAAACTGAATAGCTCTTGGCAGCCCTGATCTTTGCTGCCATTCCCAGCAAAGTACAAAGCAGCTGCTTGGGCCTTTGGCCTTTTGCCCCAGTGGGAAAATATGACATCCAGGCAGCTCATGAGCTTCCTTGAAAGAAGATCTTGTTACTCTTGCTCTTCTGGACAATGTGAGGGTCAATAACATCATGCCAGATAGTGATTTTTAGGATGCCCTGTCAATCATCCTAACTGCTACACGTTTGGCCCATGATCTTAAGTTTTGTTTCAAGCAGTTTCCCATGGCATGCTGCAGCCACTGAGTAAGAAAGGCTGTTGTGCATGTGTTTCTCTTTATGTTTGGCTTTTTTCAAAGATTGTATTGCAGGTCAAGGCACAATTAAAGCCCTGCTCAGCCTTGGACTTGGTTACTCATGACTTGTCTTCTTTCAAGCTTTACTGTAACAGATGACTAGCCAAGTTCCTGGTCAAATATACTAACTTTTGCTCATGCTTTTGTGTGTGCTTGAAAAGAACTGAAGCTTGCTAAATTTCATGGCAAGCTAAAAAAATGTCATCTATTTTTGCTTAGTCTTTTTGTTGTCTTAGTTAATTGTTTTACGCTTTATTTTAACTTCACTGAGTAAAAGTTTTTTTAAATTATTTTGGAGCATAATGGGCTGGCAGCAGCTTGAACTACAATGCATTTGGAGTTTCATATACATTTTATCAATACAAAGTAGTTTTCTGTAATACAGTTCCCCTTTTGTAAATAATTAGTGTGTGTCCTTTTATCCTACTGTTGGGTAAACCAATCAGTCAAGTGTTAGTCCTGTTTTCCAGCAAACTGTTGATTCCCCATCAGTTATTCTTTTATCTCCACTGGCAGTTGCTGCAGGAATTGTCATTTCTTAAGGCACATTTTATTTATTAGTGTGCATAAAACCTGCATACAGTAGAAAGCTCCCCAAGGGAAATAAATATTCTTCCAGTGTTTCAACATTCCTTTGTGTTGTACCTGCTCTATGAGGGGACACCTGTGATTTTGCACAGTTTTGTAAGAGAAGAAGAATCAATGCTGATGCTAACTCGTGAAGAGTGACTTCTTAGGACTGTGTCAACAGAGACAGAGATCAACTCTGGAAAAATAACATGCCCCCAAAACCTTATGGCTCTTCATTTGGAGGGAATTTCCTAGGGAGAATCCTCAAGGAGGGCAGAGACAAGTAATCTCTCCCTGGTACCCAATCCAAAGGAATGTGGTCTGGGCTTATTGTACAATCAAAGAATTGTTCCCTTTTCTGAGAAAGAAGGGAGAAAAAAGGAAAATGACCTAGAGGTACAAAACATTTAGGTGTGAACTAGCTGCTTATCTGATATATTCCAGGAGAAGACACTTTAATATCTATTAGTATCACTAGATAACAAAAACAGTTCTTAAAATATGTGGTAAAGAAAACATCCAAACTTTTATGTAGACATGGTAGTCATTAAACACCTTTACCAGAGATATGTTTGATATTGGTTTTGTTTGTTTGTTTGTTTGTTTGTTTTGGTTTTCTTTTAACAAAAAAGCAGGCTTGCTTTTGTAGCGTGGTTCTTAGATGGTCTTCTTTAAACTGACATGGCCACACATCTTACTAATTTCTCACTCTCTCCCACAGTTCAGTTTTTAAAATGGAAGATGACAACGCTCCAATCAAACGCTGTCCAAAGTGTAAAGTTTACATTGAAAGAGATGAAGGCTGTGCCCAAATGATGTGTAAGAATTGCAAACATGCCTTTTGCTGGTACTGTCTGGAATCTCTCGATGTGAGTATATGCTTTTCACTCTGGCTCTCAGAAACCTAGAAGTTCATTGCTTTGCCATGCGGCTGTGTCTTTAGTGAATTGAATAAATAGGTCACTGGCTTTTGGTCACAACCCACCAGAGCTGTTGCTGGAAGTTTGATAGGATTTGTATGCTCTGTTTTACTTGTCTGACCTGTGTGATCTTAGCATTTGGTCTGCGTGAGTCAGTAAATAATTATTTAAAAGTAAAATTTTATGACAATAATCTGGTTATAATCTTTTATGGCAACTAGCATGGAGGAAGGGCGTTGCTTTTTTTCAGTAGTTATTTTTAAATGGTGCCCTTCTTGAAGGAGATACAGGATGAATGTAGCAACACTCTTAGTCTGAGGAAGTTTTAACAGACAAACTAGATTTGGTGTGTCACTAACAGTCAGATTTGTTTACCATTCATTGTATTCCATGGGACAAGAAATAGATCTGACATAGGAAAAAGAATACAATACTCTCCCAACACCAGGAATTTATCAGTCTATAAGCTGTTGCTGTCATATGTTTATATTTTTTTAAAATCAGCCTGTTATCGTTCCCAAGGATCAGTGTATATACAACATCTGTTTCCATGTTATCAGGTTTACTTTATAGCATTGTTAACAATAACAAAGAAAGTTAGGTTCCTGAAAGCTACTCTTGACGACTCAAATCTGTTGTTGTCTCATTTGATACTTTAATAACGGTCCTGAAGTCACAGGCTTCTCACATGCTCAGTTAAAAAACAGCATTCCTGTGGTACCAGGCCTGCTGTCTTGGCTGATTTGTGAGAGGATGGCAGGACTGATAGATAAGTATTCATTTTCCTTTGTTCTTTCTCTATGTGTGTAAAATATATGCAATAGCCAGCTTATCTTCTTGGATCTTCTACTAAATTCCATGCTAGCATTTAAATATGCAGCTTGAGAGCCTTTGGGAGAAGAATTCACTATATATCTATAACTGTAAAAGAAGTGTTTTGGAAAGGTTAGACCTGGAGATATCCACCTGCTTTTATCTTCCTGTACAGTTCCTGGTTTTAGGTTCTTAGGATATAGTATTTTGTAAATTGAAGAACTTCTGTTTATTGCCTACCTTCTCATTTAATATTTTGTAGGATGATTTTCTCCTTATACATTATGACAAAGGACCTTGTCGAAACAAGCTGGGTCACTCCAGGGCATCTGTTATCTGGCACAGGACACAGGTAAGGCTCAGATCTTTAAGAGGTCTGTACAGGTTTACTGCTGTCATAGTGTCTTTGTTTGCTTTACTCATTTTACACTTAAGGGTAAAATTGTATGCCAAATAGTAACTGATTTTCGTAGCAGATTTAAAGAGGGCAGTAGCTTGGAGAGGAACGATTATTTCTTCTAGAGGGGACATTCCTTGACAAAAAGCCACTGAGAATGAGAAAAGGTATATTTGCAGAGCCACTTTAGTGCCAGTCCCAATATGTTCTCACTGAACCTGGAGGACAAACTAGGCTGCCACCATCCATATGATTAACAGGAAAGCTCTTCTTGCAAGAGATCTTTAGGTCCGGATCCAGAACTGGCAAGGAATTAGCTTGAATACAGTCCTTATCTTTCTATGGACTCCATTTACCTCATTTGTATAGGTTGGATAGAAGGTAACCCTGAAGGCTTATCAGTAGTTTCAAATACAGATTCAAATTTACAATTGCAAAGAATGTGGGAATAGCTCTTATAGTCTAGATTCAGTGTTACTGGGCCCAACAGGAATGCAGTATAAATGCTAGTGTGTGATTTGGTCCATTCTACTGCCTTTACAGTCACTTTGGAGATACGGGACATCCGTGTATCTGAGTCATCTCTTCCTAAACTGTGTGCCTGTAAAAAGCTACCTTAGCTTGAGATGAAGTACTTTTCTTGAAGTACAGATTTCTTTCCATTCGAGCATAAGCCGCAAGTGTATAGAATAACTCTCAAGTCTGGACAAACAGCTAAACTGAAATTAAAGGAGAAGGGTCTCACCCCTCTCCTTTCACATGCAGCACTGGGTGCCTGAGCTATGGACTGGGTTTTGCTTGGCTTAGCCATTGGTATCTTAGGAACTGTGTGGGTACATTAAGCTTACTTGATACAACTGTAATACGAGGCAATTAATCTGGTAGTTGGAATCTGTTCTAAGCCACTGCAGTTTGTGCAAATATGTTTAATACACGGTATGTTTGACCAGCTCATTGTTGAGAAGGGAAGTGATCATATTCTAGCAATCAGGATATAATTCTGCTAAACCCACTAAAGACAAATCAACACTGCAATTGTTTCCTTATGTTAAGTTTCTTTGACTAAGTTGTTTATTCTTAGATTTACCCAAAGTAAATTGAGGTGAGCCTTTGATTTGTTGTTTGTGGGTTTAAAATAATATTGGTTTTGGCCAGAGGAAATGGCTTCATGCTGAGTAAGGCAGCAATTTCTTCAGAAGGTGAACAACCAAGTAGAAAATAAATAAGTAATACTCAACAGTCACTTTTATTTAAAAATAAACAAGTGAAAACCACACCACCACCACTACTCCCCAAAAAATCCCCACAAAACCCCAACCAAACAAAAAGAAAACCAACACAACAAACAAAATGAAACTTGATGATTTTTTTGATGGCATATTAAGGCTGAAAGGAAGGTGTAAATAGATATTTAATATTAATTTCCAGTAATCAATTTGGTCCATTGAATTGCTAATTTCTATCTTGGCTCTGTCTGACCGGTGCATTTGGCTTGAGCTGTAAAGAACTAGACAAGGGCATGCTGTCTCTAAAAAGCAGCATGGCAGTAGTTGCAGCTCTTGTGTTTTTTAAAGATGAGAATTCAGCTTTGGTTTATATCAGTGGGGGATAACACAAAGATTAGTAAATGGAAGTTGCAACCAATTGTCAGCGCCACCAAAAAATAAGGAGTTATGAAACGTGCCCACCTCTGAAACTGAAAAAGAAATTGCTCTTGGGAAGAAATAAAGTTATAGAGCAAGGAGGTTCGACAGCCAGAATGCAGGAGTGCCGGAGCCGGTGTTGGTGAGCGCTGTCCCACAGCGCCATCTCCCGCAGCCACCCGGCCCTCTCACCCTGCCGGAATTCCCGGAGTGAAGTGATGGCAAAACGATGTGCAGGGTAATCAGAATGCGAAATTGTGCGTGGCCAGCAAAAGTGCTAGTGGATTGTCCCATCTATACCGTGGCTAATTAAATATTTGGCAGCTAATTGGAGTGGTGTATCTATACTTAGAAGAATTCTTAATGAATGCTGCACTCTTAATTTCATTTTGCCTTCTGTTGTGAGGTTTTGCTAGCATATTAGCATTCCACTCCTGCCTTCATTATTCAAAATTACTCACAGGCACTCTTATGTGAATAAATCTAAATTATTTTCTCAAATAATTTGTGGGCATATTGTTGCAGCATCGCTCTTACAGTTGCCTATGGCAAATGGGGAACTTTCTCAGGCCGTGAACTTCAACTTGAATGTTTTTCTAAATAATTTTCCAAATTTCAGCCCTGTAGAAATTATTAGTTTGGCACACTGACAGGATGGGTAAGTCTGTGGTCTTCTTCCCATGCTGGGTAGAGGGTAATTAATAAATGTCAATGAAAAAATGCTTTTAGAAAGTGTTAGATCTTGTCCCCTGAAGCAGCAGAATGAGCTTAAGTCTGGCTGCAGAAAGCCATTACATATGCAAAGTCCTCCTATAGTCTGTAGTGTTTGTAATCTGTGACTGAAATTCCTAAGCTTTTGAGTAGTCATTTGCTTTATTAGCTGTTTGAGATCTAGGAAAACTCAAAAAGGCAAAAAGCCTTTCTTTCATCACTTTCTGCAATGGAACCGAGTTGTGTGGCATGGTTCTGACTGGAGCCATGAAACACGAATGTTCTGCTTTCCCTCACATTTGCTGGTCACAGGAGCTGTCTGTAGTGTACACCTGGGGCGAGTCCTGGCTCTGGCAAGGTCAGTGGTGTTTGCTGAGGTCTTTTTGACAGCAGTTGATGATGCACTGGTTCAGCAGACATGTAATATAGACAATGCTATCCCTGATGCAGTGTTATCCCTTTTTCTTGCAGGTGGTAGGAATTTTTGCAGGATTTGGTCTTCTACTTTTGGTGGCTTCCCCTTTCCTTCTACTTGCTACACCATTTGTTCTGTGCTGCAAGTGCAAATGTAATAAAGGAGATGATGACCCTCTTCCTACCTAGGCTGCGAAAAGATTGGACTCATCACAACATGTGTTTTTATTTTGTTGTGCTGTTATGTTTCCCTCTTGCACTTACATTGCTGTAGCCTTACTTGCCCCATTCTGCTTTTAACTGACACACAGTCTTGGTTCCAGGAACTGTTGTTATTACTGTGTTATAGATCACTTGATAATAGACAAGGAGGGTAATGAAGGCAAGCTTGGTGCTAAAGGGATACCACGGACCTGGGTAGCTATCTGAAATGAAGAGGTGATATTGCTAAAATTAATGCAAAATGTTGGTGCTGCCCTACTGGTGAACTGGGAACTGTACTGAACGACATCAGCAAAACAAGCTGAAAAAGCATACAAATATAAACTTCTGCATATCTGTTTGCTTCCAGATTTGGTGTCTTATTCCTGTATATATTTAAGTTGCCTATCATTTAAATCAGATAGTCACACTTAGTGTGACTTTTTTATGTTTGTTACACATTGTTTTTGTTAAAGCCATCACAGTGTCCTTTCTAGTACCTATTCTTCCAAGTATAACAAAATTAGTAAGGTGCATATTGGCCATCCTATGCCTTTCTTGAAATTTGAGGAGGGTTGGAGGGACAAAGTTCATCCTGCTGCCTTCCACGAATTTTGTAAAGTCTTATAAGAAATTTGTTTGATTAAAAGCTACATTTTAAAATTAATTGGTGAAGCTGTAGGGTTGAGTGGTGACACAAACCTGCTATCTAATCAAGGTTCTTTTAAAAATGCATTGATGGTATTGATTACCACTGGACCACTAGTGTTTTTCTGAATTGTTATTTTTTGCTGTTGTTTAGGGTTCTGCTACTCTTATAGGGCTACATAACTTCTAATCCAGGTATCTTAATCTTTTTATAGATACATAGATATATAGATATATATATATATAATCCTATTTAAACCAAATGTGTAAATAGCTGTGCTATTGAAATATTTTGGAAGTTCAAGATATATTGCTTCTGTCTTTAGGGCAATTATTAAAAAATACAGGACTAACTTTAATAGTTAGCAGACTCTTGGGTTATCAATGAATCTTTCCTTTTAAATATAAAAATACATCATGGTTATCCCTGTAGTTAATAATAAAAAGCCTGGGATATATGTGGAAGTTGTACTTTACATTTAACTACTTAGCCCATTTCAGAGTTAATATTGTATGATATGTGGTGTATTGTATTAATAACAATACTGTAACAAAATAAGTTTTTATTTGAAAAATAATCACTTGATAGTTTAGCAGTATTCAGTGCTGTGTTTTCAGGGTGGTAAAGTGTGCTAGCCAACATACTACATCATTGTGGTTTCTCTTTAGAAATATTTTGTTGAAAACCATTTTGCTTTGATTTTAAAGCCTACAAGAATTTGACTGATAATTTCTTGCTATGAAATATGAAGCACCTGAAACAGTGTATATGCCTGTAGTACTGAAGGAAAACCTTTTGAGTGGCTTGTAGACTGAAGTCTGACTGCATTTTTTTCATCATCATTGGTCTGTGCATTGGCAATGTATTGAGGTGAATGGATATCTTGAAGCCAGAATAACTTTACACTGAAAATGTCTTAAGACCCTTAAATACAACTGCTTTTGTCTGCTGTCACAGGCTGGGAATGTGTTTTCATAGCTCAAGCATAAAAAATTACTCTTTATCTTTTGTTTTACACTGTCTATCTGTTAATAAAAATACTGTAGGGCACAGTTTTGAAAAGGGCCACTGTCTTTTTATAAAACTATTCTCCTACCCCATCTTCCAGGTTTAATGCTTTTCAAATTCAAACTGTGTCTAACCACAGATTTTAGCTCCAGGAGCTGGAGGTTATCTTTAGTTCACTTATTTGTCTTGATTTTAATGAGTTCAACCATTATAATGTGAAGAAAAAGGATAGCTGGTTTCCAGCAAATATGAACTCCTTCTGATATCTTCAGATTGTTTATGGAAATGTGCAGTTAAGATCTTTTGTTATCTGAGTATTTGTAGTAGTTTAGAATTTGTTATTAAAAATTTCTTTGTTCTTAAAAAATATCTGTAGGGGAGACTGGGTAGTGCATTTGATCACTGTTTGCCAGCCCCCAAGGGTATCTAAAGCACTGCTGAGTTCAGCAGGCAGTGAAGTGCTTATCTCCCTCTGGCTCTGATATCAGCTCAGTCCATGTCCCAGAGATATGCCAAGCCAAGCATCTGGGTTGTCCTGAGTCATAGCTTCACTGTGCAGAAAACCTTCTGTGAAGGATTCTGAGAAGGACAGCTTCCTGCAGGTAAGCTTGAACTGTGGCCTTTCCTCCATGGCCCTGTAATTCTGTTTAACTGGTGAAGAAGAAAAACCCGGACAACAGGATCTGAAGATTTCATGAGTTATTAGTATTCTAACTGGGGGCACTAAGAGATTTTGCTGAATTGTGGCTGCGACTGATGACCATGTAGTTATACTACGGGTGTCATAGTAAACAGCAGAGGTTCAGTGGCCTGTGAACAGTATTCAAGTGTCCTAGTATGATAAGGTTTATTTTCTCTACACCTTTCTTAGTCTTTATGTGTCAATACAGCCAAACTTGAGTTTTCCAGACTATTGTGTGGCCAGTTAACAATCAATGTCAAAATTAATGCATTTCCAAATTTAAAACAAAACGTAAAGAAAAAGTCCTTTGCAAATATAGAAATTTTTTGAATAATAATTTATAATTGATGCTCACAGGTAACATTATATATTATATATAATGGGAAAACTATGTCAGTATATCTCTGATCTCAACATATTTGAATTGCTGCTGGAGGTTTTTATGACACAGGTCTTGTTTCACATCCTGGTTGTTGGGATAGACTATATGCCTACATATATTTACCAAATACCTAGTCTTTTCAGATTTGCTAAATGTCATTCCGGAGCCCCTGGTGGTCTAGTGGTAAAGGCGCGGCGCTGTCACCGTCCAAGCTTGCTTGGCCCTGGCAGATGAACCTTAGGATTAAAGGGTGGGCTCAGTTCCGCGCACACTGTGTCTCACCTAAAAAAAAAAAAAAAAAAATCCAATGCGCAGGCTGGAAGGTGTAAAGACCTTCCCCGGATCTTCGCTCGCGAAGACTGGCCATTATTATATTATATTTTATAAATGTCATTCCTTCTGTATGGGATTTTTTTTATTATTATTTTTGTTATTTTATTTTTTTAATGTTGATTTGGTTCCAAAGTAGCAACTTTTGGTGGTAATGTATTATATTCAGAGTGTTTTAATGTTACAGCTTATGTTCATACTGTGACATTTAATACCCTGAAATTGAATTGTAAATACATTATTTTAAACTCTGACATTTAAACACCCTGCCGTGGAAAAAGTAACGTCTATTTCTGCTGCTTTTCAAATGAAATTACAACAGCTATGGCTTTTTAGATTTTCACCAGAAAAATAGGTATCACAGTATGATTTCTGTTGCATTTTTATGGTTCTGCTGTCATTTAGGGGTTTTGCATTCACACAGAATCACAGAATATTCTGAGTTGGAAGGGACCCACAACAGTCATCGAGTCCAACTCTTAAGTGAATGGCCCATTCTTAAATACTGTTTTTAATGGAGTTTGTAATGTACTTCATTTGCATGTTCTGGGTGAATTGGTGTCATGTCTAGTGAGTGTTGAGTCCTGACTCCAGAGGCTTTGGATTTCCCCAGGCTTACCATTCATTAGTTGGGCTGAAGTCAGTCCTGAGAGACATCAGGAGCACAGCCCACATCAACTTCAGTGGTGGTAGCTTTGGGTTTTCCCCCACATTGGACAAGTCACTTATCTCCTTTTATCTCAATTTAACCGTCTTTTTACTGGATGAACCAATGTTTGTCTACTTCACAAGAGGGCTGTGAGGGCAAATTAATTAGTTTTGAGGCTCTTCAAGGGTTTGTGATGAATGATTATATATAAAAGCTGACTGGCTTATGTTGCTATTTCAATTTTATTCATGTTGGCAGTCATCCTGAAACATCCTTCTATTGACTTTAGCATGTCAAGATGCTTTCCCTCACATACCAAATAGCATAATCTTTCCTCAAATACTCCAGTTTATGAATTAGGCAAAATCCCAATTAACAGCTGACTGGATCAGATCTCAGCTTACATCTGATCTCCTGACATGCAGGAAACAAAATTAGTGAAAAGCTTTCATTTATGGAGCTAACAGGATAAAATATTCATAGGTCAGAAAAGTATGAGGTGCCTTTTTTTTTTTTTTTTTTTTAATGTTATAGGCAGGAAGATAAAAATTCTGTGCATTTCATCTGTAGGCCTTTTACTGTATAGGAATAAATGTGTTTAATGCAGGCCGTTATCCCAGTGAGGTGCAGCATGCATAAAGCTTTGTGAAGGTTTACTTTTTTCAAAAACCAAAGCTTGTACATTTCACATACGTAATCTGAAAGCCTGAGAAAAACAAGTAGAGTATGGTTGTTGATAACAGTGATATTAAGGACATAAAAAAAAGCCTGTATGAGCGCTTAATTGCTAATGCACTTATACTAAGTAAGGCATGCTGTTTGTGTTTAGAGCCCTGTGGTCTTCATTATTGCTTTGGTTTGTGTATCTCTTACAAGAATTTCAGGAACATTAGGTACAGGTACGTGGTCCATGACTGAACCTTTCTTGATCATTTTATCATGGTGTATTTTAAACTTGTATAGGGATAAGCATGAAGGAGTCATGCACATGTATAAATAATGTATTTGATGAGTGTAAAAATAGTTCTGTTGATGTATTTGAAATGTAAGTACATTTTGTGCCACTAACACTGTGATGTATAAAAGAGCTGTTGAATGCCTTTTAATGTGGTGTTTTGTACTTTGAATCATACCGAAGAGTTTAATTTGTAATTTCAATAGATATTTTAAATGAGTGTGTCTCCTGTGATTCTTCATAGTGACTTTTCAATTCTGTACATCTGCTAAAGAAAAGTACTTTTGTGGGACTCTCTGGGCTTCTCTGCCTCGCTGTCTTTCAGAGCAAACACAGCCTGGAGACCTCCTGCTGCCCTTCTGGACATAATTGTGGTTTCTGACTCACTGTCTCCCAGTTTAGCTAAAAGAGGGAATCTGAGTATCTCTAGAGCTAATTTGACCCACAACTGGGTCTTTGGTCCAGCTCCTGTTGCAGTCCACTGATGGATGCTCTAGCCAGGTGAACACGCTGCCCCAAGGATCGCTCTGAGGTGTGTATATTCTTACACCACAGGTTTAGATCTGGTGGAGGTGGCTGTGAGCAGTTTGTATTTCTCTCAGTTTGATCATGCAGAAGGGAAACTATTAAAGGCAAAGCTCAATCTCCTGAACAACAAACAGAGCACAGTTAACTCTGACAGTGATGATGGGCTCCAGTGTTCTTGACTCCACCAACAGGCACTTTGCATTTTGCCTGAATTGCAGTTGAGAATGCAGACATACCTTCAGTCCCCATAGTTTCTTTCTCACTTTTTGTCTTTGTTTTTCTCACAATTTGTTTCTCCCCGTGAAAAAAGAACAAGCAAAATTTCTTCAAGAAAATGACGTGCATAAATAATATGCATCTACATGCTTTATACTTGACAATTTTAGAGCAATCAGGGCCACGTAATAGCTGCTACTCAGTCATTCCTTATTGTATTTTCATGGAGCGTAATGATCTTTCTCCATAAGGATAAGATCAGTTTAGATATTTTGGTCAATTAATTGGGCAGAAAATAGTCTATAAAAGCTACAAGAGGTTTTGATATATTCTAGGAGCAGGTATTGGTAACAAATGTTATGCAGTCACATGCAGTAATCATGTAGTTTAGTAACATTTAGCTCCTGGGCACTTCCTCAGTCTCTGCCAGGTTCAGCTTACCTTGGTGTAGAAGGGTTTTCTAACCCATGCCTTCAACTGTGTGATAGGGTTTCTTCACAACTGTCTGTCATCAGAGAATCAAGCACTGCAGAAGACTCTCAAGTAACAGTCGATTATCTAAAATTAGAACATTTAAGTTGAATTCTTAAATGGCAAACTTTATAGCCCATATATGTACTAGTAAATAGTGTCCAGAATCATTCAGTTGCTGGATGTGACCCACATCAGTAGTAATAAATTCTGCTAGGAGGGGCCCCAGGCCCTGAATAATTCCTGAAGTGTACCTGGGCATTGGATGGGAGAGTTCAGGTCAAAATCATGGCATTAACTGTCCTGTAAAATCTGAAAGAGTGAGGCAGCAGAATTGCACAGCACAAAAACTTTGTGTTAGTTCTAGCATTCTGCTAGTCATAGTGGTACGAATGGAGATGTGACTGTAGAAATGGTATTGTGTACACACATGTATGGGGGTAGTGCTAGGAATTGACACTGTTAACCTACAAGCACAGTGCATCCATCTACAAAGATGGATGCAAACAAACACCTACAAAACACCTTTTTTTTTTTTTTTTTTTTTAATTGGAGATCAGCTAGGAAGTTTCTGATGGGAGATTTTTGTGCTATTTTGTGTTAACTTGCCTATTAGGACTGCATCTATACCAAGAGTTATTTTATGCAGGATATAGTGAAACTGATGTAAACTTTTGTTGATTTTGATAATTATAGGTAAGGCTATTTTATACAAGGAAGCCTTTGCTACCCAGATTCTGCACTCTGGGGCCCAACATTCAGCCTAGTATCTGACACCACTTAAGTATGAGATTTGTCTTGACGTTCATGTGTCTGGCTTAACTTTAGTTAATGCAAAGACACATCTCCTGAGGTCTTTGGGACATTTTGCATCATGTCCTAACACTTCTTACTAAAATAGTTGTATAAACAAACTTTAGCCTCTTTTTTTAGCCTCTCAAGCTGCGTCTTAGGTGTGGGTTTTTCCCCATGCACTGTGACAGAGGAAGTCTAGACAACTGTCTTTGTCCAGGCATATAACTTTTACATGGCTAAAACTGAGGGAAACAGTCATAGAGTGCCTTATGGTAAGGACTGCTTTCAGATACCAGGGCAGCACTTGGTGGTGCAAATTAGAACCAGGTTACTCTGCTCCCATTCAGTGTTTCCAGATGAGAATATGTGTGTGGTGACTATCACTTAACACATGGGACACATACACAAAAGGTTTAGAAGCTGTATATCATGCAATCCAACTCAGACATGCAGGCAATGGAAGTGCACTTAAGAGACTGTAGATTACGGTTCTTTTGTGGTGGGTGACAGGAAAGAACATTGCCAAGTTAAATGTGATAACTGGGAATTTATTCCAGTATTCCTAGTTATTTTGGTTTTTTAAAGCCAAAAATTAAATTAACACTATAATCAGTATATAAATGCTAAACTTGAACCTCGATCCCAATGAAGAGAGCTCCTGGGAATAAATTCTAGGTGTCCTCACTCAGTCCCCATAGTATCTGTCTAGCTGATATGTACTTTATGTGCAGCATCTCCTTAAATGTCAAATGTGGCTTCTATTCAGTGTACTTATTATATATATGATTATAGGAAGAAGAAATTCTCTGTTTAATTTTTCAGAGCAAGAAATCTGATCCTGGAGCAATGCAGATTGCCCAAATTAAATAGACTGGTAAAGGTTCTGTGATATTTTTTGTAGCTTACGTGGAAGAAAGTGTATTATGATTAGAATTAAATCACTTCTTTCTTCCAAACACTGCCTTTTTTCACCAAGTAGCTGTAAGAGTAAAGCCAACTGCCTATAAGCTTGAGTGAGGCAGACTCCGTTCATCTTTGCTGTGAATTGGATGCTGAGAGCTCATTAAAACAATTAGCCTTTCCATTGTCTTGTAGTGAGTTTGGATTTTCATTTTAGGTGAGCAGAGAACTCATCGTGCTGTGCAAGAGACACCTGCATCAGAACTGTGTTTTTCTGACAGGGTTTTCTCTGCCAGTGAGCTTCTTCATTTGTCGTGATCTTTTTTGTGTGACACAATATGAAACTGATTTCACGTGGACTGTAGGAGAAAAAAGTTATATGTCATTAATAATTCAGAAGGTTCTGTAGGCCTGACGTGCTCGTACCAGTCTAAATTAAGGATGCAGGCTCAGCCATTCCTGAGATCTCACTGCTGTGTGCTATTCTTTAAACAGTTACAATTTTCCCTCTGATCCCTCAAGGTGCTGTTTTGATAGGTGGAAGAAATGCTCGGGCTGCCTCAAAATCCTGAGATCTTACTGTATTTTGAGAACACCACTGTCATTTTTTTGGGATTAGCCATGGGAGAAATGCTTGAGCTTGTGTAAAATTGCATTTAAAACTGCCTCCGCAGATGAGCAGAGTGCAGTGTTTCTTTTTTTTCATGCCTTACTAATTATTAGTAGACTCATTTGTTGAAGTCTCATGTAACGAGGGGTACAGGTGGAGTGAGGAATTCCTGAGCTGGAATAGGGATAAACTTTTCCCGCTGCGTTAGCAAAGCCCCCTGGAAGGGTGTTTCAGAGAGCCATGCGAGCGGTGCTACCACGAGCCAGCAGGGAGCAGCCGCCGATCGCCACGGCTCAGCGCGGGTAGGCTTCCCAGAGAAATCCCTGTGAACCAGATTTCCACCTCGAGCTTGTAAAGTCTGTATTTCAAAGCCTCCGCAGAGCTAATTGTAAAGATACGGCTAAAAATAACAATGTTATGGTGGGCCTGCACACTCTGCTGGGGCTGTTCTAGTCTCTGATATTAACATATGTTATTGCTCCTGTTCTCCAAGAGTGTATAAACCTCTTCTGAAAAGGAAAAAGCTGAAGTGTTTGAACTTTCAAAAGCTGATGTTCCAGTCTACAAATGTAAATGAGAGGTGCATACCAGAGGTCTCTTTCAAAATGCCACGTTCAAAGAGCACTGACTAATCACACTGGGAGAAGGGGGAGCACTAAATATCAGTTACAAACAGTAACTATTGACTAATAACATTGCATCTTCTCTGTTTTATAATTGACGGATGTTGTAGCTGAGCCAAATTATTCTTTTCTCCTTTTCTAACCATGCTTGCTGTCGTATCTGTGTTCCTTAATACAGATGTTCAGCAGAAACAATGCAACTGTCCAAACAATAACTAACCATCCATTCAGCAGTCAACATGTTTGGCAGGGGAGACAAGCTGCAATGGGGGGTTTGCTGTGAGTGGTTCTGCCTTTACCTCACTCTATTTATATATGTTCCAAAGTTAATGTGTCTTCCTTTCCCTGCCCAGCCCTCAAGTAAAGCAAAGTGAAAACTTTCAGGGACTCCCAGGAAACTTTTAGTTCATGACAATTACAGCCTGTTTGGAGCATGTTTTTGAGCTGGATCCATTTTTCCTTTTAAGAACCCTGAAATTTTCTTACAAAAATGGTGCAATTAGAGGATTGGGGTAGCACAGTGTATCTTACCAGACCATTAACACTTTACTCCCACCATGTCCCTGCATTTTGTTAAGCAGATTTTTCCAACCTTCACATCGATCAGGAGTTACAGACCGAGAACCTTGACAGTTCAGGATGCCTCCAGCCTTTCAGTGTTCCATGCAGCTCCTCCTGGCTTCCCAGCAGCGGGGTAATGTTTCTAGTTGCAGTGTGTTGAAGAATGGCCCATGGAAGATGAAATCTAGAGGGGCCATCTCACTGCTTCCTACAAATTGAAGCAGCAAGTATAGAGATCCAGAGCAGCAGAAAGCACAGGCACTGAGAAAGAACATCTTTCTCTCTGTCACCTCTACCTGTGCTGTGACCAAAATGTACATTGGTGCTCGATGCCATCATCCTTACCAGCAATTTTTATTCTTTCACTTGTGATCTCAGGATGTACTGCATTGCAGGTTCTGCAGTCAATTACTGGCATTTTCTTACCACTAAGACTCAGGGAAGGCGGAGGGGGTTGTGACTGAGTTAAAATGTGAGTACGTTATGTGAGAACTGGCCCCCTAACTGAAGCTTAT